AGTCTGATGACATGCATGAATAGCTGAGAAAAAGAAAGCAAATGCAGAGCTTAGAACTTGAAATACAATGGTCTGCGTGATGTGAGCTACAGAACAGCCACTGAGCCAGTGGTCCACCTCCAACAAATATCAGCCAGAGTCCCCTTAAGGAGTTGGCAAAGCAGAGCATGATGGAGAGAGCTCTTCCTAATTTTATGGGCCCCAGCTTCTTGTAACCAGGGGTATGCTGCTATTGAGTCTGGAGGCTCAATGTTTCGTTACCATGGCTAATTACTAAAATAGATCACAAAGGCTGGAAGTGTAGAGACGTTGGACTTTGAGATCAGACCCCAAAATTAATAGCCTCTATTTTTGGTTCCAAAGAAAATCCCTTATTTCTGGGGGCAAACAACCAGGGACGGAAGCTAGTACCTTCCTTTCCCACTTTGCTTTGAGTTTCTGACATGATAAGCCTGGCTTACATAAACCTTTTTCACCTATTCCAGGTTCTCAAGATGCCTGAACATGGATTACTTATGCCCTACTCAGACTTTGGGCACCTCTCTCTCTCTCTCTCTCTGTATATATGTTGTGTTTTCAGAACATGATTTTTATTAGAATGTAGCAACTTTTATAGAAAACCTTATGAGTTGCATTCCATAAATAATAAATCACTTATAATCTTGTTTTTGGTGCAATGGTATTGCATCGTCTGGTTACAATAGATTGTGCTACAAAACTTTATAGAAAGTCTTACTTCAGGTCTGCCAAGGAAAAGGAACCTCTGGTCCAGATTCTTACCACCACGCCAAAGAGAAAGGGAAAATGAACTATGAATTAACTCTGCTGGAAATATATTTTTAAATCTTCCTTATTTTCTCCCACTCTCTTTGTTATCTCAGAACGCCCACACCTACATGCAAGAACCATTGATTAGTTCAATTCGATGTGGGAAAACTAACTTTCTTGTTAGCCCCTTCTCATCCCAGTTGCCTGTCTCCATCCTTCTTTCCCTCAGACCTACTTTACCACTGGTACCATGGCTTTCCATTTCTCTGTTGGTTTAATACACACCCTCACTGCAGCTGCCACATTTTGGGGCTTCCTTCTTCTTAGCCTCTCAGCTTCCTGGCTTGCCTTTCCAGTCTTCTTTTTTTTTTTTTTTTTAATTTTTTTTATTGATTTTACAGAGAAGTTTTAGACAATACAAACAAATAAAAAGACATACAAACATGTATAGTTTCATAACCTTTTTTTCATATCCCTCTCTTCTCGGACTCCCCCAAACCTCCCCTTCCTACATCCCAATTTCCAAAATTATTTCAGCAAATTCTAGATAGTTTTATCAAATATATTTTTTTTTATTCTTTTCTTCAACTTAATCTTATGTCGCTGTAATCTCCTTTTCTTTCTCCAAACCTCGACATTTTAACATTCCTCAATTTTATAATAGTTCTTAAGATAAATTTTAAATTTCTTCCAATCTTCTTTCGCCGTCTCTTTCCCCTGCTCACGGATTCTGCCAGTCATCTCAGCCAATGTCATATAGTCTATCACCTTCATCTGCCACTCTTCCAAGGTGGGTAGTTCTTCTGTCTTCCAATACTTTGCGATGAGTATTCTTGCTGCTGTCGTAGCATACATAAAAAAAGTTCTATCTTTCTTTAACACCAATTGGCCGGCAATGCCCAAGAGAAAGGCTTCTGGTTTCTTCGGGAAGTACATTTAAGTACCTTTTTCATTTCATTATATATCATTTCCCAGAAAGCCTTAATCTTCGGGCACGTCCACCAAAGGTGATAGAAAGTACCTTCAGTTTCTTTACACTTCCAACACTTATTATCAGGCAAATGATAAATTTTTGCTAGCTTGACTGGAGTCATGTACCACCTATAGATCATTTTCATAATATTTTCCTTTAAGGCATTACATGCCGTAAATTTTATACCTGTGTTCCACAACCATTCCCAGTCAGCAAACATAATGTTATGACCAATGTCCTGTGCCCACTTAATCATAGCTGATTTAACTATTTCATCTTGTGTATTCCATTTCAGCAGCAGATTATACATTCTTGACAAGTTCTTAGTATTGGGTTCTAACAGTTCAGTTTCTAATTTTGATTTCTCCACCTGGAAGCCAATTTTCCTGTCTTGTTTATACACCTCCATTATTTGATAATAATGGAGCCAATCTCGAACTTTGGGTTTCAATTTCTCATAACTCTGTAACTTCAACTTATCTCCATCTTGTTCCAAAATTTCCCGATACTTTAGCCATTCGGCTTCCATATTAAGCTTTTTCATTGCCTTTCCAGTCTTCAGCCTGATTCCAAAAGCCACTGACCCCATAGGTCTGTGTGGAGTCTGATGCCAGCCAAACTGACAACTTCCCCTTCCCTCACAGAAACTGAATGGCAAACACCTAGATGAACACCAGCTGAAGAGCAGTTTTGATACTACCCTCATTCCCTCCCCCCAGCTTCTGACTACCTTATCTTCTATCCTTCACCTTAAAGATAGTCTCACTGTAGTCTGCTGGAGAGGGCCTCCATCAAATAACAACTTATCAGGAGATCCATTCTGTATGATCCAGGAATCAGGCTTTTCATGTGGTGGCACATACCTTAGGCATTCCCTCCCCTTAAATATCAGGCATTCTGTCTTTTCAGCACGTACTGAAAATCTCTCTCTTTCAACAATACTTTTAAAATGGAGCATTATCCCAGTCTGCATCTGTACTCAGAATGTTTTTAGATGTTGAATTGTTTTTATATAATTTATATATGGAATGGTTTTAACCCTTTTTCTTGTTTTGGGGCTTCCCCGTTTTCTTTGCTCATTAATTGCACATTTTATTGTTGCAACCCACCCTAGTAAAGGGGAAAGAAGTATAAATAAATAGTACTGATGGATAAATAAATCAGATGCTTCATTTGTAGCCCATTTCAGATATGATTTTGCATGCGAAATTTACAGTGGTGCCCCACAAGACAAATGCCTCGCAAGACGAAAAACTCGCTAGACGAAAGAGTTTTCCGTTTTTTGAGTCGTTCCGCAAGACGAATTTCCCTATGGGCTTGCTTCGCAAGATGAAACATCTTGCGAGTTCTCGCGAGTTTGTTTCCTTTTTCTTAAAGCCGCTAAGCCGTTAATAGCCGCTAAGCCGCTAATCCGTTAATAGCCGCTAAGCCGCTAATAGCCGCTAAGCCGCTAATAGCCGTGCTTTGCAAGACGAAAAAACTGCAAGACGAAGAGACTCGCGGAACGGATTAATTTCGTCTTGCGAGGCACCACTGTATCCCTATTGTAGATGGCAATACATTTGCTTGCATGGATCTGATCACAATCACTCACATACATAGTGCTTGATTAATGGGCACTGATGTGTTGTTTCCATGCAAATAACACACACACACACACACACACACACACACACACGTCAATACACATTTGACCATAGATCAGTGCAGCAAGTTTTACAATAGCCCTTGATAGGCTCTCTCCAGGGCAGTTGCTATGTGTCTGCCATTTATCAGAAGGTGTTTCAGAGGACAGTTCTGCTTGAAGGGATGTCTGGTCCAGGTCCAGTTTAAAGATTTAAAAAACCATAAAAAAGGAAAGTGGCAGTGGTGGTGGTGGTGGTGGTGGAAACAGCCCACCTGTAGGAAGCCTTTGAATAGAAAACTGAGCAACTACAAAGGCCACCTGCTCAGTCTTACTCTCTATGTTGAGAGATAGTTCTATACATATGCATTAGCAAATGCAAATCAAGCCCTCATTTCTGCAATGCATTGGTGATACCACCATGCCTCTAAATTTCCCCCCAAATGGAGTCATTCATAATGATAATGCAGAATATATTAAACCAGTAGCCAGTGTGACATAGCAGTTAGAGTGTCAGAGTACAACCTGGAATGTTGAGTACAATTGTTTAATGGAAAACAACTCTTTATGTGTACTGCTAAATGCATAGCATGGAAACTTCCGCAGTAGTTAAACAAAGGAGTTGCTGAGAGCCTAACAGGTTGATAATTAACTTAGAATGTATCTCTGCTACTCTGACACGAGGTGTTTAACTTTAAATCACATGGGGAGTATTCAGTTGTAAATCTCCATTTTGTGTGAGCTGGTCTTAGTTCTCTCTCTCTCAAACATTGGAAGAGAAAGGATGTGTGTTTAATCTCTCTCTAGGACAACACAGCCTCAGGCTAATGGAGTCTGTGTGTGAGAGAGGGAGAACTTTGATTTCAGTTCTAGACAAAGTAATTTCATATTTCTAAGATGCTCTGCCTGTGCTTGGCCAAGCACATGATATTATGTATGTATTTGGATGTAACATTTTTTGTTTTAAGTGTCTGTTTTGGAGCAAGTTCTGTTAGTAAAACCTTTGAACCCTATTTTTGGACTGGAGAAGAGCCTTTTTTTTATTCATTCCATTTCTTCCATATGTACAATATTAATAACCACAATATGGAAGACAATATGGAATCCTCACTCAGCCACAAAGCTCACTGGGCGACCTTGGGCCAGTCACTGTCTTCAATTTAACCTACCTCACAGGGTTGTTGTGGGGATTAAATAAGGACGGGGGAGAACCATGCGTGCCACCTTGAGCTCCTTAAAAAAAAAGGTGGGATATCAGTATAATAAGCAGAAAAAGAAAGCAGAATACATCTGTGTGTTGAGGAGTCACCAAGTTTCCTTTCTGAATAAGCTTCATAAAATCAGCAAGAAAGCAACTCTAACTCTTCCCTGGGGATCTCCTCCAAGACTTCATGTTTTCAGAAGGGCTCTGAAGCTCTTTTCTTTGCATGAGACATTTAATGGCTGGTTTTATTGGGGATGGCAGCTTTATGTATGTTTTATATGCTGTCAGGTCTTAAAGTATTTAGTTTTAATTGCTGTTTTGTTATTGTGCTGCTGTTTTCCACTCTTTTCAGCCATTTTGGTTTTGTGTTGTTGTTTTTTAAAGAGACAAAAATGGCTATGACAAATAAATCATGAATAAATGTCTTGAGAATGAGCTCAATGGATTTATTTCTCATTTAACAACAGCACATCTTCGTAACAGCTCAAGGTGTAAAAGACCTTCTAGGATCAGATCATCTATTGGTTATCAATGAGCCGGAAAGATGATTAGCTGTGCTCTCTCATGGGCCCCTCAGACATGTCAGGATCTGGCATGGTTTTGCAGCCCCAGATAGAAGAGGAGCTGGAGGAAGAAAAAGTAGGGAGGGTTCAGGGCAGATAAAAGAAAGTCATTATTTACACAGTGTATAGTTAAACTATGGAACTCATTCCCACAGCAGGCAGTGATGGCCACCAACATAGATGGCTTAAAAAAAAAAAAAGACAAATTCATGCAGATGAGAAGAATTGATAGTTCCTAGCCATGATAGCTATTCTCCAACACAGCCGAAGGCAGTAATGCTTCTGAATACCAGTTGCTGGGAACCATTGGAAGGGAGAATGATCTGGTGCCTGAATCCTGCTTGTGAGTTTCCCACAGGCACCTGGTTGGCCACTGTGAAAACAGGATGCTGGCAGATGCGGGAATGAAGTTACATGGTTTTAGTAGAAATATAACAAAGAATTAAGTAAAATTTGATTGATAATGGGTTAAATTGAAAAAATTTAAGGTTAGACCGTTAAGATAAACTATAGAATAAAAATTGAGAAAGATGGGAAGAACTTGCTGAAATAGTGAATTGAATTAGAATACAAATAAAGGGAGGTGTGAGGAGGTCGATGAAACAAGTAAAGGAAAGGTAAAGACATGGAATACTGGATGTGTGTTTTAGTTTTCTTTTTTGTCTGTCTTTTTTGCTGTATTGATGTATGGTTTCTATATGTTTTATAAGTTTTGTTATTGCTCTTTTTCTTTTTTATTGTTATATATTTTTTTTCTTCTTTTTTCTGTAACTTTTAAACTTTTAATAAATATCATTAAAAAAAAAAAAAAGAAAACAGGATGCTGGCCTATATGGGCCATTGGCCTGATCCAGCAGACTCTTCTTATGTTCTTAGGTTGTAGGGTGATGTGCTTGAAGGCTGGCACCCAGCAATGGAGGTCCTCCCATTGTGATTTGAGACATTGAAGAGGGGAAGAAAGCCACTCCCGACATAAGGAAGGGGGGGTTGCGGGCTCACGCCCCATCTACAACCTCACGGGGCTAGCTCAGCCCCGCGGGACTTGGGAATCCCAGGGATTATCTCTTAGGACGCCAGCCAATCGGCTGGCGACAGGGGCGGGGTTAGGTCAGGTCATTTAAGGTTGGGGCAGCCCGTGCTCGGCCCTTTCTTTTCCTTCAGCCAGCTGCAGTTTCCCACCCACCCACCCTCTAGGTTTGCATTTGGATTTTGCTATGGGCTTCGGCTGGTCGCCGCAAGGGTCCTGGTAGGAGTTTTTCCATTTGGCTAATTGGCTGTATTTTGAAGCCACTTGGTTTTTTCGCCTACCTCGTAGCAAAACGTCACAACACCTTGGTTTGGCGGTTAGGCATTGGCAGGGGTATTATCATGCAAATGAGTCGGGGGGGAGGAACGCCATCACCTCCCCCAAAGTTGAAGGGTAGTCCGATAAAGGACTCCGGGGGGCGTCGCCTTGTCCGAAACCTACGGAGGCTAGGGCCTAAAGCGCGCTCCCGAGCGGTAACCCCTCGGGGAGCGCCTAGGGATGTGCATCTCGGGGGCTCCCCCTGTTGGTGCTTAACCCTTCCCGGTTTTATACCAGTTAGTCTGATAGGGCCAATGCCTAAAGCCAATACCGCTCTTACCTGTAATCAATAAAGTTGTGGCCATTTTCGCCCATTAACCTAAATTCTTGTGTCCGGTGTCTTTATTTATTCGAACTGTGGGGGGGGGGGGAATTGCCACGCAACAGATTTGCCTTTTCCAACCCCTCATTGCCCCTCCCATGGGCCTCATTGGGGACTTCAAGTAGCCAGTGAGAAGGGCAAAGCAGGAGCAGGAGATGGAGTCAGGGGACAGGACACTGTCTTGTTACTGAGAACTAGGTGCTGCCCAGATGGAGTGCATGTGTGAACGTGTGGTGGTCCCACCTCATCTTTAAAAGAAGAAGAAGAGAAGAGTTTGGATTTGATATCCCGCTTTATCACTACCCAAAGGAGTCTCAAAGCGGCTAACATTCTCCTTTCCCTTCCTCCCCCACAACAAACTGTGAGGTGAGTGGGGCTGAGAGACTTCACAGAAGTGTGACTAGCCCAAAGTCACCCAGCAGCTGCATGTGGAGGAGCGGAGACGTGAACCAGGTTCCCCAGATTATGAGTCTATCGCTCTTAACCACTACACCACACTGCTGTTGGGACATCTTCCTTGCTTCCGTTCAATTCTGTTTCTCTTGCCTTGCTCATATACCTTGGAATCTTGATGTCTCTTCATAAGAACATTAGAAAGTCATGCTGAATCCAGCCAATGGCCCATCTAGTCCAACATCCTGTTCTCACAGTAGCTAACCAAGTTTCCATGGGAAACCTTCAAGTAGGATCTGAGCACAAGAGCACTGTCTCTGCAAGAATATCCAGTGCTTGCTGCTAGGCCTTGACTGTTATAAATTATCTCCTTTAGTCTCAATTAAGAACCGCTTTGTTGTGCGAAAGAGTGGCAGGTGAAGATGACTTTGCATAACTGGCAAAGCTGACAGGAAAAATCCGAAACCAGCATGATCAAATATTCCAAAAGAACTGGAGTAAATCTATACGATACCTGAAAGATTATTCAAAGCAAATAACATCACTAGCAGGGTTGTCGGAAGACTTGTAATGAGAATTTTTCTATCTTTCTATTTTCATTTAATTTTTGAGTTATTTTGCAATGAGCGTAATTAGAATTGGAAAGCGTACAAAATGCAATGATATAAAGGTTAATTTTGAAAGCCATGAGGCGGGAGGGAAAGAAGTCGATAGGCTCTAAAGAGCCAAAGTGGTAAAGTGGATAATGATGATGTGAATGTATAATATCAAATGGAAAATAAATAAAAATTATATATATGTAAAAGAAAGAAAAATAATTGCTTTATTGTGCTTTGAGATGGGAGGATAACAGGCAGCTGCTTTTCACTGTTGACCGTTAGCATGGAGATTGTTCAGATAACGTCACAGGGAGATTCTGGACTTGGTTGTATCTGGGTGGACCTGGGATTTTCCTGAGTTTCTTCTGTTCTTGTAACAGAGAGGCAATCAAGTGCCTGTCTTGCACCTTGAATGCCCTCTACACCTTCTGTTACAGAGATGCCAATTTGTGAGGCAGGTGAGAATTTTCTTCAGAGAGAAAGATCACAAGGTGAATCCCTCCTGGGACTGCACACAAAAACAATTGTCACATGAAGAGAACAAAAAGATCAGGGGGAAAGCAAAAAAACACAAAGACCTGAAGAAAAAAGAAGGGAGCTCTTCCATGGCTACTGATAATGGTGGGCCCAGCTCCCAACGGAAAAACAGGAGCAGAGGAAACTGCCTTATACTATCAATGACTGCTGTGTTCTACCTTCTCTGTTGAAGGCAGTATGTCTTTGAATACAAATTGCTGGAAACTGCAGGTGGGGAGATTGCTTTAGTGCTCAGTTCCAACTTGTGGGCTGCCCATAGGCATTTAATTAGTCATTATGAGAACAGGAAGCTGGAGTAGGCAGAGCTTTGGCTTAACCCAACAGAGCTATTCTTATTTTGACTCAGATCCTTCATCCATCCAGGTTTATATTGCCTACACTGACTGCCAGAGGCTCTCCAGGATTTCAGATGGGTCTCTGCCTGGGGATGCCAGGGATGGGGAGGTTCTCTTCCTCCTCCTGGATAAACTTGGTGATATGGTCCGTCTCCCCTCTCCTTCCCCAAGTTCTCTCCCCACAAATATGATGGAGAATTTTCCAGAGTCCATTTGCACACTGCTCTAGAGACCATGACGGTAGTCATATTGGAACCAATGTCTACAACTTGATATCCTATAGAAATAAGCACAAGAGATCTGAAGTAGCTAGGTGGAACACCTCATTCAAATGTGATGCTGGGCTGCCAGATGGTGAGATGGAACTTTTTCCCCCAAAGGAAGAGGTGGGAAGACACATCGGCAGATTTGCGGAAAGGTAGCAAGTAAGAAAGCTGCAAAATATGTGTTACAGGTGTGAGGAACCACCACACACCAATGATGGGATCTTCAGTGCTTGTTCCTGAAGTATTTGCTTCCAAAGAAGGAGAGGAAAACACACACACACACACACACACACACACACACACATACACACATACACACCAGGAAGCCACAGTTTATCAATTAATAGTGATAATTCTATTTGCTACTGTGAGGAGAAACATAAATTAATACCAGCACTTTCACTATGAGTAAAAGAAAATCCATCATTTGTAATGCCAGGCGAGGGGAAATAAATCATGGATGGAATCTTAAAGGACCTGGCTGGTCTAGCTCAGGTACAGAAAACCTTTGGCCCTCCAGATGTTGTTGGACTCCAACGCCCTTCAGCCCCAGGCATTATGGCCAGTGATCTGGGATGATGGGAGTTGTAGTCCACTAGGGTCTGGAAGTCCAAAGCTTTCCCATCTCTGGCCAGGTTAAGCCCTGAATCTAGCAGTACTCCAGACACATAGAGACTGCAGGGATACCAGAGTTTCAGAGCTGGCTGCTGAAGATAGGGAGAGTGTTGTGCCTTTGGAGGTTGTACAGGGCCCCCCAGAGGGATAGCCAAGAGTACTGGGGCCTATAGGGCCACAGCCTGGACCCTCACCCACACCTACCTGCTAGTCTGAAGAAGTAGATGCCTCCCACCAGACATCACCAGTCTGGCAGTGCAAAGAGAGCACTAGAAGGGAGGTTGTGGAATGAAGGAAGATTGCACATTGTAAGGTCAGAGGGATGGCCCATTAAGACTCTGAAGGGGGGTGGAGCCCAGTGCTTTTTTTCTGGGGGAGCGCAGGGGTACGCATGCCCCCAAACATTTTGTGAATCTGGATGTGAGGGCTGTCTGGCTGTGACATCTGTCACCCCATTGATCGCCAAGGTTGATTCAGCTGATCTGGCTGGCTAGGCAGGTGTCCTTTTCCTCCCTCACTGCTCCATGTGTGTCCCTCCCGAAGCTGCACACTCGGTGGAAGAGGACGATCATCCCAGACAGAAGGAGTGTAGTGTTCTTCAATCAAGGGTATATGATAGCTGCACTCCCCTCCTAGAACCTCCAAACAAGCTCCATTTGTAGGAGAACATGGGGTAGTCAAGCTTCCAAGACTCCAGACACATCCAAGTAAGGCGCTGTATGTGGCAGTTTGCCATTAAATAATAATAATAATAATAACATTTTGTGAATCTAAGTTTGGCCTCATTGAGGGGCTGTATTTCAATATGAGTAGGAAAATAAGAGTACCTCTAAACATTTTTTAGAAGAAGAAGAAGAAAGCACTGGTGAAGCCTGTAGGAGATAGGCTGGAGACCGAGGCTTAAAAAGACTCAGTCTATTCCCAGCCTGTGTTGCAGCAAGTTGCTCACTTGTTGCTATCCACGGTTCACCAGCATACAACCTGCCTCCATCCTTCCCACTTTCTCTGTGGGATCTAGCATCAGCAGATTCACCAGAAATATAAATTAATTGGGGAAGTGAAAAATACAGAATGCTAACACATCATCATCATTCCAGATGCCCATGGCCCTTTACAAAGCAGCATAAAAACAGTAGCAGGCCTTGACCTGGAGAGCTTTCTATCTAATTTATGGGGAGGGGGACACGTGGAGACAGTGATAAGATGATAGATAGGAAGATGATAGAGGCAAGAGTAATGTTGTTGTTTAGTCGTTTAGTTGTGTCCGACTCTTCGTGACCCCATGGACCAGAGCACGCCAGGCACTCCTGTCTTCCACTGCCTCCCGCAGTTTGGTCAAACTCATGCTGGTAGCTTCGAGAACACTGTCCAACCATCTCGTCCTCTGTCGTCCCCTTCTCCTTGTGCCTCGATCTTTCCCACCATCAGGGTCTTTTCCAGGGAGTCTTCTCTTCTCTTGAGGTGGCCAAAGTATTGGAGACTCAGCTTCAGGATCTGTCCTTTCAGTGAGCACTCAGGGCTGATTTCCTTAAGAATGGAAGAGTAATAGGGGCAGCCTATTTCTTAGCATAGTTGCACCAGAACCTGTGGCCCTCCAGATGTTGATGAACTACATTTTCCATCATTCCTGACCATTGCTCCTTCTGTGACTGATGGAAGTCCAACAACATATGGAGGGCCACAGGTTCCCTATGCCTCATTTACACATATTTAAGCTTAGTTCCAATGTGGGATGAGTTAAGCCAAAGGCTATGAGGTTAAGCCAAAGACTTTATGGAAGAAGACTGAGCTAAAATATCCCCTCTTTGTTCATCACCCCATTTAAGAGTTCCATTCCAGATCTTAATAGATCAGTACAACAGAACTTAACTTATTAACAAGATATGAGAAAACAAAGTATTTTGGAAATACAAAGTTATATTTTTACTCTCAAAAGTTGCTGATCCATGGACAGCTTTACCGCCTACATCTTTTCAGAAACATCTCTTCCCTGTTTCAACACACACAGTGCACTTAACAGGTAAAACCAGCCATTTATCCTACCTGCCTCTTATTTTCTCTCCTAATTAGTGCATTAAGAAAAAGATGCCTCTGTAACAGTTGGGCAAAAAAACAAAGCTGATGTACACATGGTGGGTTCATTAAAACCCAGGTCCTCCTTTTTGTGAGCTGTTGGTTTTTAAAGAAAGAAAGAAAGAAAGAAAGAAAGAAAGAAAGAAAGAGAGTGTTGATTACCCTTAACAACTTTGGAAGTCAATAGAACTTTGTGACTCTTTATCACGAGAAGGTTTTCATCACTTTGGAGAATCAGGGTTGATCTACAGAGAAAGTTACACTGCTTAAATTTAAGGTGTGAACTTGCACAGCCTCCTATCAGGGTTTTGCTGACACAAGGAGAAAATTCTCACACATTTCAGAAACACATTGCTGCCGCGTTGTCCTGAGGTCTTCAGATTTGTGCAGAGGCTGGACAACCGCCCATGCAAGATCGGAGACTCATGCTCTTTTTGATCAGTTGATGCTGGTGACACCTTATGTAGAAATTTCAGGTCAAGAAGGAAGAGGAGCTGTGTGCAACTCCAGAATAAGTTTATGCAATTAAGGTGGTACAGACTAATTTAGCAAAATACTATCTCTCAAAGCCTAATTTGCCAAGACAACTTGAATGTTGGGATGGCAGAGACAATTAACTCAGGAATTTAACTCTGCCTACGCTTTCCAAAACAACAGGAGAACCTAAAGACAGTGTTTATGGATACTCTCATTTTGACTCAAGAAAATCACCATTTTATAGTTCAAATTGGGAAAAACAAATACACTAAATGGACAAAAGTACAAAGATTCACAAAATGTTTAGGGGTATGCGTACCCCCAGAAAGAAAGCACTGCAGTCATCCCTCAATTTCACATGATTCCTTTGCAGTACCAAATATGGTAATATGCACAAAAATGCATTGTGCGAAAATACAACACAAATATGCATTGCGTTCTGGAAATGGCTTTGCAAAAAAATGTGTACAGCAGGGAAGATTCACACTAAAATGCTGAAATTTTGGTTGCAAACTGTTGCAAACTGACGTGGAAATGCGGAGAACTGAACTTAAGATGAGGAAAATGAGAAACGGAGAGAAATCAAAATCGACACATTCAGCCACCCCTGAATGGAGAGGTGGTTTTACAGAGCTGAATCAGAGGGATGGGTGCTTAGCCACAAATCTGTGACCAATGATTCATTCTTCAAATGCTTCCTCAAGAATAAGATGCCCCAAGCTAGAATTATATCCTACTTGGGTAGTGGAGAAGGGGGTAAGCAATTAAACCGTTGGTGACATTTGGAGAAAAGAATCAGTGAGTTGACACAATAGGGTGGATTATTTAGTATCTTTGACCCTCATATTCATAATTCCCTTCTGGGGGAAATCCACGGTTGGAAACTCCATTTTCCCCCTCACATGGTGACTCACACAAGAATTCAGACATGGTTTGCCATCACTGGTTGGCTATATGGATTCTGAACAGAGATTTGGCCACTTTTGTGATTTGTTCATTATGGTGGTGGTGTTTGTAAATGCTAAATGGTATGACTTGAGGCAGTGGCTGGTCCTGCTATCCTTTCTTGATGTCAGAACTGTGGAGTTTGGGAGCCTGCAAATTGCTTAAAAGAGCATGAAGAACTGTGTATTTTTCACCTTTCAACCCAACTTCTTTAAGCCTCACCTTCCTCAACTGCCTGGGCTTACTTTGTTTATCCATTATCTAGATCATAAGATGAAAGATACCACCAAAAGGGAACGGTAATGGTATTAATTTACACATAAACGTATTCCTTTCATCTTATCCTTAAAATTCTTTGTCACTTCCACAGCTGCTGCTCCTTCAAGGGGTGTGTGTTTATGTGTGTGTGTGTGTGTGTGTGTGTGTGTTGTGTTGTGTTTTGTGTTTATCTGTGTGTGTTTTGTGTTTATCTCTCTCTCTGTGTGTGTGTGTGTGTGTGTGTGTGAGAGAGAGAGAGAGAGAGAGAGAGAACATTATTCTCCCTGTACATTAGATAAGACTTGCAGGAAAACATAACTGTTAAGCTAGCAAATCTTGGCTGTACTGCAACATGAGCTTGCAAAATTCATGAGCAATTGAGGTATGGGTGGGGGTGGGGGAATTCTATATTACTTTTCTAAACTGTGTGATTGTTTTCACTGGATGCATAACTGGCACTTTCCTCTAGAAAGTACATCAGTGATATGCATGCCCTCCAGATGCTGCTAGACTTCGACAACTCCTATTATTATTATAGCACTTACATGCCAAAATGGCTTCTAAGCAGTTTACAAGTATAAAATCAATTATTAAAATATCCACAGGATAAGGGGCGGGGGTAGTTACATTTTTAAATGTCTGAAAAGCAAGTACTTAGGCTCGCATTCTCCTTTCTGCTTTCTTGGCCAGGGGGAGCTGCCATACTTTTCTCCTCCCTGAATCGGAGGTGGTTTTAGGGTAGCACAACCTGGGCACTGTGCTGCAGGGGGCGCTACAACCATGCTGTAGGTGTTGGCATCCAGGGGTCGAAAGGCCAGTTGGCACGTCTCCCTCTCAGCCTTCGCTCTGCATTGATTCATCGACCTCTGGCTCCGACCTCTGGCTCTGGCTTGCAGACTGGAGCACACTTTACTCATCAGTGTATACTGCGCAACAGAAGTGGCTTGAGGCTGTAAATACATATTAAGCTACGCATTTATTAAACATAAAAGGTAAAGGGACCCTTGACCATTTGGTTCAGTCGTGGCCAACTCTGGGGTTGCGGCGCCCATCTCGCTTTATTGGCCAAGGGAGCCGGCGTACAGCTTCCGGGTCATGTGGCCAGCATGACTAAGCCACTTCTGGAGAACCAGAGCAGCGCACGGAAACGCCGTTTACCTTCCCGCTGGAGCGGTACCTATTTATCTACTTGCACTTTGACGCGCTTTCAAACTGCTAGGTTGGCAGGAGCAGGGACCGAGCAACGGGAGCTCACCCCGTCACAGGGATTCGAACCGCCGACCTTCTGATCAGCAAGCCCTAGGCCCTGTGGTTTAACCCACAGCGCCACCCGCTTCCCATTTTATTAAACATAAATCAGGACAAAGAAACATGTTGTCTCTCCTTGCTGTCTTCTCGGAGAGAAAGAGAAGAAACAACAGCTATACAGACCGGAAGTTTCACTTGCGCCAGCACTCTGTGCTGGAATGTAAACAGACCTGTGACACGCAACAATCCCATGTCTGCAACAAAAGGTGGAATGGATCCCAACAGTAGGAAGGAGTGAGAGAGGGATGGGGAATCTTGGAGAATCATAGAGGTGGAAGGGGTGGTGGTGGGGCATTGGCTGGTACTGCCTGCTTGCTCTTTAGCTCTCCTTCTGGCAGGCAAGCAGATGGGAGTCAAGATCTTTACTGATTTAATCAATCTATCCTTTATGGTCCAAGCATTTCTAAGTTCTGAGCATCTTTACTCAGCAGTTCTTGTTTCATGTTATTTCCCGCTGACCTCTTTAAGCAAAAAAAGATCCCTTAAGCTTCCTTGGGGAAAATTGGTTGATAAACAATTTTTAATGCAACGGGGATTTCTGATAGCAACTGGTCTTTCCTTCCTGTTTAATCTGTGTTTTGAAAGTTAATTCTTCATGCTTCCTTCCAAAATTTATGCTTCAAATTCATTTTGTTTTTATCTCTCCTTTCTACAATTGCTATAAATAGACACTTTTGCTC